CCCCCCCCCCCCCCCCCCCCCCCCCCCCCCCCCCCCCCCCCCCCCCCCCCCCCCCCCCCCCCCCCCATGAAACTTTTAATAGATTGTTATTTCTCTCTTAGACCTTTTGTAAGTGTAAGACAAGTAACCATTGGTAAAGATACTTTTTGATTTCGTTTGACTGAAGAAAATCTAATCGACATGAGTTCAAAAAATGGTATACTCGAAGATTTTCTACTACTTTATATAACAGCTTCTACACATAAAATAGCAGCTTATGAAACCCGTAATATGACTGAAGAAATAAGATTAGTTGATCTAGAAGTTCTGTTAGATAAATCTGTTGGGTTAACGCATACATATGCGTCTTCTGATAAATGCTCATTACAAAGTAAATGTGTTCAAGAAAAAATCATCGATAAATTCGAGTACAGTTAATAATTGAAATGTGATTAATATCAAAGATAAACAGACATTCAATTAATTGAGAATGAGTTAGAATCCCGAATAGAAATTATTTAATTCGATCTAAATTTAGATTTTTTTTGTATATGTATTAGCTAACATTGAAGTTTAATCAAAATCAAGAAGAAATCTACAAGACATAAGACCCCATCACTCAAAAATTGATTTGAACAAGAGGGTGTGGGTGTGTGGGTTGATCTCCTCTCATCATCCACCCACAGCACACACCCACACCCACACACCCACATCCACACCCCGTCATTCAGATCTGTAATATTTGATTTATTAGCCTGAAGCGAGTACAAAAAACGTTGTAACAAAATTCTGTGAGATATATAATAAATTATCACTAGATGTCACTCCTATATGTTTCACTTTGTCTATGAATCTTTGAAAAGTACCGGAAAATTTTAATTCTTCTCTCTCTACGAATATTATCAAATAAATAATTTAAAACTTAAATAAAATATTTTTCTATGTTTAAGAGGGTTCAAACAGGGCAACAGTATATTCATTTTGAACGAAATGACGCATTATCGTTCGTTCTGGTTTTGCATTTCTTAAGTGTCAAATAAGTACGGTTTACGAATAAGGATCACTGAGTAATCATGACGATTCAAATTTTTGAAATTTGCTTTTTGTTTAAGATAAAATTATCATGTTCAATGAAGAAGATGAATGTGACTCGTCAAATATTTTAACTGTTGCTAGTCAGTCCGATGTTATTGCATTTCTACAAGCACAAGAAGCAAAAATAATTGGTTTACACACAAATGTCAGTGATTATGATGACGACGATGAGGATGATGAACTTTCTATTGTTCATAGTTCTATACCAAATTTTAAACAAATTTCATCAAACAATCATAGCCAAGGCGTAAAATCATATTTAAGTCATTCTTGTTTTGCTTCGATATCAAATTCATCAGCTCAAAAACAAACAACTTCAGATGATCTAACAGAATTAAATTGGTTAAATACATTTAAATTTAAGGAAACTAAAACAAAAGAAAAATCTACTCAAGAAATTGATTCGAATGAAGATCAAATAAGTAAATTATGTAATGAATTAAAAATGTATAATGAAGAAAATTTATATTTAAATTCTCTATCATTTGGTGTTCTGATTTTCCTTGCCTTATATTCTAAACGTTACGATAAACAAACACCATGGTTATTAACCATAAAACAATTATATGATTATATACAAAAAAATAAACAACAAATATCCCATAGACGTGGATGGAGAGATTTATTAAAAGAAACTTTAATTAAAATTCCATGTTTTGTTAAGACAAAACGTGATATACTTAAATCACGTTCAGTATGGACTATTGATCCGTATTATCGACCATTATTAACACGAGCTTATCTAACGCGATCCTCGTTACAGTCGAATAAGTAAAATGCAAATTTTTTTTTCTTTTTATATCAATGAAATATTATTGAACTAGAACGATCAGTACCAATCAAAATGAAGTGAAGGATGCATTATCGTATGTTATCATATTGTATCGATCAGTTTTCATTTCTATTTGATTATTTCTAAGGGATGAAGATCATTATTCCAAATCGATCATTAATTATTTTGCTCCAAAATCAACAGTAAAAACTAAAGGTAAATCGAAAGTAGATTTTGACACGTAGCTACTTTTCGTCTTGTTTAGTACTTCCTCGTCTTTATGAACGACTCTGTGAAGAAGAACAAAATTATGAAAGTGAAAATGAAATCGATCTAAATAATCCTATTGAAGGTAAACGCAATTATTACTGTGATGCCTATGTAAAATATTACGCAGTTCCTATCGCTTCCTTGACTTTACGCACATATTGTTTTACGCACATTGAAAAAGGAAGTAGTTCATGGATTATAATTGACTGTGATTCATATAGAATTTGTAATGTTATACTATCAATACTTGTCAAGAGGTGTGCCGGCATTTGTTACTTCCTATGACGTATGCATAATTTTGCCTATCAAAATGATGATAATTTTCTACTGTTGCTTGAAGGAAAAGGAGTTGATGGCCGATCCAATGCTAAATTTACTTTATGTAGATCCTTAAAACTCGGTAGATTAGATTTATAATTCTTATTACGAATAAGATCAAACCGCATACGATTTAATTTTTGACAACGAACAGCTGTTCATCATTTTGTATTATTGTAATTGTGTTTTCAATCACTTGAAAGTACGAAACAACGTTAGCTACCCAGTCACATCATCGAAAATGTATTGAAGTTTCGTCATGGTTATAGAAGTATGCATATTTTGATATTTCGCCATTTGAGTATTGACCTATTTTCTACAGATGATTGACATGACTTGATTTGAATTTTTTCAGTAGAGCAAATCGAATCGTTAAAGTTTAATGTTAAGAGGTTATCAAAATATACACGACATATTGAATGAATCATTATAGATGAGTGACCTGCAATCTAATCTAACGTTGTTCCTATTCGATGTTCGTTTCGACCATAAAAAAAGGAAGTGATTGTCGTTTCGTTTTTTGCAATGTTGATGTTGACGTTGTTTTACAAGTAAACAGAAAAGAAAGACAAAGCGAATAGTCTCAACAAATAGAGCCTGAATTCATCCAATACTGTTTATACTCTATACGCAGCGACGCCATTATGTGATCTAATAGTTATTTTTTTAGTATATTTAGTTTGATATATCTAGACTATTTGATTAAGATAGCAATCAAATTGGCAGCTTGCTATTAAAAGGCGCATTAGTATAATCGGTAGTAGAAAGGGTATATCGAAAAATCAAATATGCGGCTGGAGTTTATTGACTAAACCATAAAAAATTGCGTTTATTCAGAAATATCTAAACGACCTTGTTCTACAACAACGACAACAAATCAATATCAGTTTTCAACAAGTAGGAAGTAGGCATGATTTATTTTCTACAAAAATAATTATTTAGATGAATGTGATACGCAACTGTCGGCATCCTTGCCATTGATAAACAGCTTAACTAAACGTAAGAAAATATATTCAAATATTGGAGCAACATCGAATAACGAGTAAATAATTTTCAAATGCAAAAAGCATTTCGATAAAATTTTCATTTTTCAAGAGCAATTATTACAACGCCATGTCCCAGCATCGATCATATGTATTTAAATTCAATAAGAAAATCTACAGAATTTACTGGAGATAGTAAATAAAAAATATTTTGAATTAAAAGTAGTTTATACTTTTATTTTGTTTTTGAAGATGAAATTTCAATTGATGAGAATAATCAATGTTATAGTTATTCGTTAACAAATTCAATTCAAAAATCAAATATTACAACTCGAGCTCAAGCCATAGCAGAACAGAATATGCTTAACAAGGATATTGTTGATCGTCGAAAATCTGGTTCATTACGAAAACCTTTATCTCTTTCATTACCATTACATCGACCAAATACGCGAATGAGCAGAAAGATCATCGAACAAGATTTAGAACTATTACGAAAAGCAAACAATAATTAATAATCAACGAATCTTGTTATTGTACCTTCTAATCAATCAAAATGAAGACATTCAAAGACTCCGAGTGAACATAAAACCAGTCTATCTCTAACTTGATAGGAATATCTATTTTTTATTGTTTGTTTGTTTGTTTGTTTTTACGTGTGCAATAAAAATGCATTTGATAGAATTAAAAGAAAATAATAATTCATATTTAGTATAAGCATCGAATAATTCATTATTTTTTTTTTCTGATTATAAAAATGAGTAGAATTATATGGATACATTAGGAATTTCTAGAAGTGATCATTGAGTAGAAAAAATGGTTTCCTATCGGGTTTGAGTCCCAGACAAACAGCTTAAATCATGTCTTCGCTGGAATATTGTTTACGATGCTTCTTGTACCTTTGTGCATCCTTTCTGAATAGTAATTTTTATTGCTATCGATAATCACATTTAATATCTGTTAATCTTAACTAAGCTCTGGATTGTAGTCGGTTGCAATATAAATCTTTGAATTAGAAAAAGTTGGACAAAGCCAATTTTTCTCTTATGATTTAAAAACACATTGTCAAGGTGTGCAGAACAAAATAAAAGCAGCCACGTCACTTTTTCCCTAAAGAAAAAAGAAAAACCTATCGCAGCATCTACCTGCGTAGAAGCCAAACGATTGTTCTTCCTTTTTAGGTTATTTTCAAGTGGATTCAAGATTGCAATTGAGTTTATTTAAACAAACAAGACAAAAAGTTGACAATCAACAGAATAAAAATACAACTGCTTCATGACATCGTACGGCAGAATGAAATTTCGTTTTTATTCTTATTTCATTTAATTGCAATGCTCTGATTAGCATTGCACTGATTTTTGTCAGAGCCACGTGACAGTGCATTTTATTTTTACACCGTTTCTAACAATTTATTGCGAGGGGGAATACGTGAGTGAACAAGAACAAAAATAAATAGCCATGTCATATCACTTCCTTTTCGTATAATATAAATTGACACATTATATCTCATAATGTTTGACTCTTTTTGCACCGTCACTGCAAAGAAAGACTACTGAGTAACAAAGATTGCTCGGTTAAACTTTAGATTATGTATTTTCGATTTTTCTCTTTATAAAATTCGAGTGAATTATATTACTCTTATATCAAACTGACAATTTTGTAGATAAAAATGTATGCAACGAACAATTATTCATTTTAGTTTTTAAATTCAAGTTAGCATCATGTCTTCTCCGCCAATTAATTGTCCTGATTCAAGTCCATCAACATCAATACCACCTTCCGAATTATATCATACTAGTGCTTGCGGTTCTATTTTACATAGTTTACCAACAAAGGTTCCATCAGAAATATTTGCCTATCTTCAACATGGAAAATTAGATGCATTTCGTCGATCTCTAGACATCTATTACAAAGATATAGTTCAAATAAAAAATGAAAACGAACAAGTGAATACATAATCTTCTTCTTTTTAATTTTTTATATTGAGTGAATTTTTTTTCCAGACTGTATTACATGTTTTAAGTATACATGTGTATCCATATTCATGGGTACGTTTATTAATAATGTTTGAATGTGATCCATGTTGTCAAGATAGGGATGGATACACTGCTGCACATTATGCCGTCGAACGCGATGATATTGAAATGCTCAAAGCGTTAACAACTCGTTTTCATTCTAATGTAAAAGTATTCTCCGATGAACAGAAAATAGCTATACACGAACGTTGTTTAAAAGCATTGTCACTACGGCAAACACAAGGTTTAACGGTATTTATGCTTGCTTGTTACAATGAATCGATTAAATGCCTGGATTATTTACTTGAACTTGATATTAATGACGCACATTTGCAAGTATTTACTCGTTTCTGTTTTTGCTAATCCCATAGTTTTTTTATATATAAAATTTAATCTTTTTTAGGATAATTTTGGCGATACATGTCTGCACTATGCTGTTTGTCGTCGAAATCGAAATCTGGTAACGAAATTAATTAATCAATGCCATGCAGATGTTAATGACGGAGTTAAAGAACGACCGAGTGTACTGGATATTTCACAATTTAATCGTGACCAACGAAAAGCATTTGAAAGAAGTCAAGATGATTCAATAGAACAAATACTTTTGTCGAATAACGCTTTAAGCCGTTGTCAACTACGACGTATTGTCAAAAAACGTAAAAGATCGCACGATGATACGCACGCTGTTTTACCGACTTTAACTATTCGCAATGGAAGTACAGTAACAGATTCGCAAATAGAAACAGCAAGAGACTACGCTCGAGTTGCATTCTCATTACATAATCAGCGTAAACTTAACGATGCGAAAGAATATTATAAACTTGCGATGAATTCTATATCGAATGATATACTTGATTGGGCGGATTATGCACTCAAGCTTGCTCTTATACATAAAAATCTTGGCGAAAATCAATCAGCACTTGATTTGTTAGAGCAAGCATTTGTAGTGCGGAAACAATTTGAAAATGAAACAGAAGATATAGCGGAGATTCAACGTGTCATAGACAGTATAAAAAAGTTGTCATTGATATAGAACAAGACAAAAAAAACATTTTCTCATGACCAAATTTAACATGCGAATACTCATTTTTTGAACTCATACACTAGGATAATAAAATAAAATGATTTATCTCTAGAGTCTTCTTCCGCTTATTAAAGAGAAAAAAAGTATTTTCATATTGTATTTCGAAAAAATATTTCCATCTAATCATTCTTAGAACAACTTGAAAAATCCTCTTTCGCGATGTATTTTTTTTGTAAAAAGTCAACAACACATGGATATGTAAATTCAGCAAGGTCTACATTGGTATGATGCAAAAACGCTTCTCGAATCGCTGTTGAACTGATGTCAACAAGGTGTTCACGTTCATTTTCTAATGGAATATAGTATAAAGTAGGTATGACATGCGATTTTTTTATCAAGTAGTCATCAACGCCACACCGATAAATAACAGCACAAGCCATATTTTCGAGCTCTGCCAATTGTGCAACATAAGAACATTTATTAAAATGATCCAAACCACATACATAAACAACTTTTAATGGATGTGCGAGGAATTTTTCTTGACAATGTAACGTAGTGTTAAGAAATTGAGCTAAGCTTTCGCTCACTTCATCAAAATCGACGAAACCATTACATTGACTTTCACCTTTAGCTACAGAAATCCAATTTTTCGCATCGTTGTCCGATTGAATAGCTTTTTCGCAAAGTTCGATTCGATCTTTAGCTGAAATAAAATGAACGCTGCCCAGTTTACTGCGAACATACGAATCACTTTTTGAGAGAAAAAGAAAATTAAAATTTTAAAATTCATATTTTAACTACTCAACAAGGTTCATTTTCAATACTTCAGTGCTACTAATATTCCAACAAATATATAGAAAAATAAATATTCCTGCCGAACTTTCGAAAGTAGATTTTCGAGAAGCGAAAAGCATTAGTTTTGTTTTGCTCCAGAAGACCGATGGATTTAATGTCAATTGTACTCAACAGAATGATATAGCGATATTCGAGTATACGCTGAAGTTGACTTTTGAATATATTCGATTAAACATAAATTCATATTTGTCGTTGCTATCTCGTTTTTCTATAACATAATATTTGCATTCCGTTGGCCGAGCTATAGCTGTTCTATTGTTTTAGCTTATCTAAGGAGGCTATTGACTTCTATCAGTGCGTACGAGATAGGAAGTATTCAAATATCTTATATGATAAATAAAACTGGCTGCAATAGTTCTTGATAAAACTGATTAAAATAACACGAGAAACATAGCTTGACTCGCGAAGAACTCGTTGCATTTCAGTTGCAATATGTTCTTGTCTTTAGATGGTTGTTTGATCTTAGCTTATATGATTTTCAAAGAAAACTATATTCAAAAATTTTACGTCCTGAAAACTTAGTACTCGTTTATGATCAATACAAGAGTAGAAGTATTGAAAAAAAACCTTGTTGCCGATATACTGTATATCAAATTGATAATGTAAAACATACTGTGTAGGCGATAGATAAGCAGCAACGACATTCATTGGCTGTGATGTATGCTTTTCAAGACAATTTCGAACAAGCTGAAGATTTTTTATATGTGAACGATGAATCGGATTGAGCGAACCGGTGATAATCAAAACACAACTAGATGAAAAATAAAAATATGATTTTCATAGAATTGATCTTACTTATTAGTTTTATTTTGAAGTTGACCATCTTCAACATTCCTTTTTATGATATCAATGTTTGTATTTTCTCTTGTGTGCATGCTTGTTTTCTTGTTCTCCGTGGAATAATTCTTTCTTCGAAAGAACCTAACGAGCCTAAAATACATCAACGTTTTTACTAGAAAATACAAATATTAAAATAGTAGTGTATTTAAAATTAATCATTAATTTACACTTCAAATGTCAAAGAAAAACATCTCATATTTCTGAACTAAAAGATGCATAAATGATCTCACTTAGACATGTTAAGCCTTAGTATCTAGCAAAATAAACCAAATGTAGATACTTGGCAAGTTTCATATTAGTATTTGGATGGATACTTTTTGCTACGCAACTTGTATGATTGCAAATACATGTACTTTCTTCGATTATTGACAATATGAGGTGGACGAATAAAACAAGCAAACGTCAGTAGAGGTCACACAACGTCGAAATAAAATTCAAAGGGGAATTTCACTACTATGCTTTTTTGTAGTTTCTTTCATTTTATTATTCGACAAGTGTTTTTTCTCATATACCTACTCTTCGCACGTTTCCTATTCTATGTTTTTTTCACTTTTAATACCAAAGCTTCATAAAAAAATTGTTGTAGAAGGATAATATGAAATTTCGAAATACTGAAAAATTAGTTGTGCGAGCATCGGAACATATTATTACGATGTGATAATCATGAACATCGAGATATTTTTCTTTTTTCAACATGCCTTGGTCCTTGTTTTATGATGTCTAATAATCCATAAGTGGTGCACTAGCGTGCATATTCAAACCATATATTCCTACAACTGAGGTCGCTCAAATATTCAATTGATTTCAAGTTGAGACTGTACGCATCTTGTAAATCTTTACAAACTACCAGTATGCCACTAAAAATTTCGGAATCCTAACTTATCGTTTCGATATTCTTTCGTAGCTGCATTCCCGTTCTGTTCCTACCTGGAATGAAAATATTGAATCTACCGATACCATATGAAGGATGTAAAAAACATTCCTTAAGTTTTACAGTTAAATTGAGAAATTCCAGTTCTCTTCACAGTTGAAATGAAAATGTCGTAAAATTATAGTATCTCCAAAGCGATGGCCTAATCTATTCAGGCCTGTTGCATGCGCATATTCTAAAATAAAAAGACATCTACCTTCTAAAAAGAAAACGAAATGCTGCTTTCTACAATATTAAATCTTTCATGAAAATACAAATCAATAGCAGCAAAAAAACTAATAGAATCAAAGTAGTAAAGTTCTACTTCATTCTAAGCGACTTTAAATAGAAAAAAATATCGAAGAGAAAAAACGATTAAGATCGATTTCGTTTTAATAATGAACTTCTACAAAAAGAAATGACAATCAGCATAATAAACCCAAAATTTTTGTTTGTTCTACAAAATATTTAGAAAAAAAAATCGAACTCAAACTACTAACTAACAATTCCAGCATTTTCAACATCTATTTGCATCATTTGATCAGCTTCGCCTGTTCGTTGCTGATAATTATCGTTACCCGTACGTCCGGTAGTTTGCATGAAATTTTTTTGCGATGAAAATGGTGATGCTGCTTCCGTACGAAAATTGACTAATCCACGAATACGACCTTGTCACAATAAACATCATAGAATTAATAAACTATTTCATAGAATTACTTACGAAGTATAATACAGCCAATAATAATTGATATCCAAATGGATAATAGTAGTATCACTATTATTAAGAATACTAAACAAAGGAAACAGACAATCATCGGCGTGTTCGACTAAAATTGATCGTATTACTCATTGATCCATCGATACGCGATTTATTTAGTATTGTTGGATCCATATTAGAAAAATCTCTTGGTGGTAGAACTCTATTGAATATCAAGTAGAAAAATTAAAGACGAAAATAAAACCAAAAGAAAGACTTTTACAAACTTGAACAAATGTGAAAAACCATTATCTTGACAAATATTATCTTTTTTGTTGTTTTCAAATTTATAAGAATAATAAATAAGAAAATAGCAACTAGCATGTGAAACATTTTCGCATTCAATTAATAAATAATCATCTTCCCTAAGAAAAATTTCGGACGAGATCATTCCAATACCACTTTGGTTCGTATTCGATAGTGTTTGTGAGTCAGAAACCATTTGTATTAACTTTGGTCGAAGCCAACGAACACGAACTACATATATGCGCCACCAAAAATTATTTTCATTTTCATTTAATCGTTTTACTCCGTACAATAAACGCAGATCATCTTTCGAACGACAAGAAAATTCTTGAAGAAAATAATTTTCTTAGATACTATGAAAATTATCTATTAGTTACTTACGTTTTCCACTTTTTTCATTGCCCGCTAATATGGTACCCGTTTGAAAGCTTGCCCTTAAGATAAACAACTAATGTTTTATTTTGTTTAGAAATGCAGAATTCATCATTAGTTCTTGTAGCGAGAATCTGTTGAACTGCTTTTATATCAAATGGTTTCTCATTTTCTAGTAAATACTTCGGGTGCATTATTCATTAAATGTAAAACAGCCTGAATAGTTTCTAAATATGTTTGAAGCAATTATAGAGTGAATATTAACTGAGAATCCAGCAGGATAGAAAAGTTTGATTCGACCATCTTGAGTTCAGACTAGACGAAAATCGTGGATACTTTGATAATCTTCTGTCAGAAGGGTTTCAAGAAACTTCGGAAGACTTAAGAAGACGTCACATCGTTTTCATATGACTTTTTAATAAAATCTTCACTATGTATTCTTCGATGTCATGAGAGAATTTTGAAGACTTGATGTTCACTATTTTCCGTATCTTTTGAGACTCATCTGAATTTCGAAATATTTATTACAATCTTTTTCTTACAGTACTCACTACTCTGAATACGATGATCCATTATCTATAGTCATTTAGAAAAAAAACAGAAACATCAATATATTTCACAGAATAAGTTCCTTATAAAAAGTCCTTTTGGAGTATGTAGAGCTCGTCGGACGCTGAGTACAACTCAAAAATTCGATTTTCATCTGAACGTGTCTTTTGCATGTTCTCCGATTTGCGTAACAATAGCATATGCGAAGGATTGACTTACATTTTTAGCTCATGTACACTAGAATTCAACTTCCTTAAATCGATCGGTTCTTAATCGAATACCAAAAGAATTTCTTTCATCTGGCAGACTAAATTTCAAGTTTTTATTTTCGAATTACGTATTTTTCTATCTGTAACTCCCTCCATCGGAAAATGTCTCTAGCTACATTTGTTTTGTAGTTGAATTTTCAGAAGATAAATTTTTAATAAAGAGAAAGAGACTAGGGATCGATAATTAAATACTACTTATATGCTTAGGAGCAGAAAGCTCAACTAATTTGAGTTCAATAATACAATTAGGTAAAAAAGAAAGCCACCTACCACTTGGTTGCTGTATGCAATATAACACCGGATTGTTCTTTACGTATTACGCTCTGTTTTGTATAAACAACTGAAAGCATAATTGATCTATATTTACTTAGATTAAAGCCGAGTCCTATTAGTAGAAAAGTTTTCAAAAACACAATTAAATTCTTATGAAAGACTTGGTTTTACCATCAGGTATGCGAAAAGAATACGGTGACGAATATGGAGTCCATTCATAGATTAGCATTGATTGATCACAATTGATCTCTTCAGTATTATCATACCTAAAATAAAGTTGTTGTTCGTTTTAATTTTCTAGTTAATTATTCTTCTATACGAAATTAAAGGATGAGTAGATCCATTACAAAGATGAACAGTCAATCTTTCAATTGATTTTCGATGTATTTGAATCAATGGATCGATTGCAACTGAAAAGAAAAGATAATGAAAACGACTTCAGAGAAGTCAAGAGAAGAATTTTAGATACCAAAGAGTACTAGAAAAAATTTTTATCTACTAAAATCCAAGGGGGGAAACTGCAGACTCCATAACTCCATGACTCCGCTTGACCCCAAGAAGTTGGAGTCTCTCATTTACCTCTTGGCAGTATGACTCAGTACCCGGAAGTTGAATTCCCATTACAGAATAAACAGCTCAGCTGTGGAAATCCTACTTCCGGGCACTGAGTAATATTGTTCTGTTATGGGAAGTTTTTTTTGGACAATTTCTGACAAAGAAGGAAACTAATAACTATTTTATATAGTGATACATATGACAGAAAAAAGTAAAAACGTATCAGTTTCCCATTTCTATAATGGTTTCCTTGACATCAGCAGGGATTTTGCGATACTTACTGTGATTCCTCGTGTTTAGGCATGACTCCCTGGGATCCTATGGGATTCTATGCAACCAGCGGGCTCCATGTGATTTCGGGTGGCTCCGTTTGACTCCGAGGAGTTGGAGTCTGCTGTTTCTCTCTTGATTAAAATCACCTTCAAATATGCAATAATTATTTCTCGAGTGGTAATTGATTTTTCTTTGACTTGTACTTCTCAATAATAAGACTTGACGCGTAAGTTTCTGGACAAAATGTTTGTTCATTTTCAATTGGCTTAAAATTAATCGAGACGAATGAAAAGCTATGTGGTAGACACAGAATTCGATGCTCGTTCCGAATATGGGTTCAGAAAGCGTTTGCCTGGTTTTGTTCAAGAGTAGTGAGGTAATTTCAGAGTAGCAATAGAATTTGTTTAAGACCTAATGGATTAGTTCGAACGATGCGCAGCGGGTTTTGGTAACCCCTATAAATCCCTTCACAAAGATGCTAAAAACTGCCCAACTCAGCAGTTTTGTAGAACAAATACTTCTTAACAAAGTGTAGCATTGAACTGAACTATAGGCGTTTTGCGTAAAAGCTTTTAATGGAAAAATGAAAATTGTGATGCCTTGTCAAAGGACCTGAAATGGTTAATTTTGTAGATTAGATCTTGTTCTACAAACTGATATACTAATAAAGGCTTTCGCTTTTAGTTTCGAATCCCAACAGCGAGAATAGGAAAATGCATAGACAATTTTCTCGCACAATCTAACGTTTTAGATCTATCAAAGATTCAAATAGAAAATGTTCTAGGTCGATATTCAGAAAGAGCACTAAGTTCTAGTTCGAGACCACAGCTTTCAACTCGTGACATATTTTCAAGCAGAACAAAATAAAAAAAATTTTACTCAAAAACTCTCGTCCCATCCGCTAAACATTTTCTATAGGCCGTCGTTACTTTGATTAAACGTGAAATCTCTCATGTTGCAGTTTTTCTCATTCTATCATCAATATGCTAAATATTATAAGTACTGAACGATCTACTCAATTTTGAATTTCTATAGCAAAATTTGCGTCTAACAGTTAATTCACTGATCTTACCAAGAACACTTCGATCTTGATTGTTCGGTAATATATGTTTGACATGTACTGATTTCTATTTAAAATGAAAACTAAGATTATCGATAAAATAAAATAATAAAATACATACATAAGGTATTTTAGTAGTTAATGATGTACTATTCGGTGTAATTAAAGTTATACTGATTCTAGTCAATGTAAGAGATGCTCTGACAGATAAAAATTGAATCGATAATAAGCATAATAAAATGTGTTGACAAAATAACATAGCCCTATTGTACATTTTCTTCCATATATCCTGCTTTACCTGTAAACGATTTTTATACAAGTGCGTTGGATAAGAAAAAGAATAAAAATCAAAGAAGAAACGATATTTGCGTGAATAGATTTACTTCTTTATACTCGTGTTTCGTTATCGATCATTTATGTGTTTCTATGTATTACGATAACGATACGACAGACGTCTATAGATGCATTCACTTTCTTGCTTTTTTTAATCATATAGAATACATTTGTATTTCATAAGTGAAAAAATGATAGATGATGTATTTGGTCGGCAATCGTCAACGAGACTTTCTCAATTGAGAAATCGAAGCTGCTCGATAAACATGGAGATTTTCCAAAAAAAATATTTTTTTATCTTCCATGAGAAACTCCGTATATAAAATTAGATAATAAACCATTCAC